ATGTGACCCTAAGCGGGTATTTATACAAGAATATGCGCCTTGAAAAAGGAAATGGGGAAGAAATTAACAAATCTAAACTTTAGGAAAGCTTCCAAACTGTTAAATAAACTTCCTAATTTAAAAAAGGAAACTCCCGCGCCAAAACTGGAAAGGATCTCTGCAAAATCTTTACTCGCCGCCCCCCGAGTGCGGCACCCGGTCAGGATCTCATCGATTGCCTAGCATGGTCACTCAACCGGTCCAGCTAACGAGCTAAATAGGTGGTGGGCCGTAGCCAGGCTACTGAGGCCCTCCCAACCCTTTGAGTAGCCTTAAGTGCTTGAACTAAGCGAAGCCCGCCGATGACTATCTCATATTCGGCCTTGTTGTCTGAGGTGCGAAACTGGTATTGCAAGGCATAGTACAAGTGGAATTCTTCTTGAGTAGTTATTATGACGCCATTCCCGCAGTGTCGGGCACTAGCGCCTCCATTTGTGTGAACCTCTCACCACTCGGCTTCCACCCAGTCTTCAATCGAGTGAGGCTCGTCGAACTATGCTGAGCACTCTAATATGAAATCAGCCAAGGCCTAAGCCTTTATGGACGGTCTAGGCATATACTCAATCCAATACTGCGCAAGTTCCATCGCTCACTTGAGCAACCGCCTAGACGAGGTCGGGTTGCGCATGATGCTTACTAGTGATAAGTCAGTCAGAATCCTAACATGATGGGCTTGGAAATAGGGGACTAACTTTCTCACAGTTATGACTAAGGCATATGCCACATTGAATGGTGAATATTTGATTTTTTTCCCCTCTCAAAGTCCGGCCTATATAGTTAACTGGGTGTTGCACCTTTTCCTCTTTTCGAACTAGAACAGATCCGATTGCCTGGCCTTCTAGGAGGCGACCAAGTATAGAAATAAGATATCATCTTCTTTCGGCTTAGACAACAATGGGGGTGATAAGAGGTACTTCTTCAAATCATCAAAGGAAGCCTGACATTCCTCCGTCCACCGGAAGCCTTCCTGTTTCGTCGACTAGCTAATTGATCCGGGGCAGCGGGAACGGATATTTTGGGCAAGCTTTGTTCAAAATCGTGTAATCCATGCACATCTTCCAAGCCGATAGCTTGGGCACCAACACCACGTTGGCCAGCCAACTGGGTATTTCAATTCTCGGATATGACTGGCCACCAACAACGTGTCTACCTCCCTCTTCACAAAGTCCCTTCAGTCATTAGACAGATAACGCCTCTTCTGAGTGGCTGGCCTGAGCCCGGGGTCGACCGACAAGCGATGAGTAATTATTGTCCGATCTACCCCTGACATATCCTCTAGCCCCCATGCAAAGATCTCCTTGTAGTCCCTCAACACTTGGATGAATGCTCTCTTAACTGTCTCAGTCAGTCCAACTCTAATCTTTACCTTCTTCTCTGGGTACTCGGGGTCTAAGATTACTTCTTCCAACTCGACTGCCGGCATAGGGTGTTCGATAACCCGCTCATCCACTTGGTGAGCGATGGTTTTGATTCGCAAGTCTTTTTGCCCCACCTTACGACATCCTTGCAGGTAACAATTTCTAGCCATCTTCTGATGACATCGTACTACTCCGACGTAGTCAGTGTGCGAAATTTCATGCATAGATGTTCGATGGAGACCAAAGCACCCACCTCCAGGCCTAGGCGGCCAAGCATCACATTATGGGCACATTCCAACCGACTACCACAAATTGCATTTCCAATTTCCTCACATGAGGCCAAAGTGCCCAACTCGACCAGCAACAATATGCACCCTTCCGCATCAATTGAATCCCTAGTAAACCCGGCCAGAGGAATCCTGTCTGGCCGCAGTCGCTCCATAGGAAATCCCAAGTACAACACATTTACACTACTTCCTATATCGACCATGACTCTTCTGATTACGGTTCCCTGTATATCCATTGCGATGACCAAGTCATCGTGATGAGAAGTCAGGCCCCTAAGTAAGTCATCGTCTGTGAAGATTGATTCTCGGCAAGGTCTCTTGCGATCTAATTCCTGCAAGGCGATCGCCCCAACGTAGAGCTACTTGACCCAGGTTTTCCGTGCTCCTGCGTTATCCCCACATTCTGGACTGCCAACAATCATGTTAATAACTAGCTTATGCTTCCATTTCCGCTCATTCTCCTCCTCTCGGGCTAACGTTTACCCTTATCCATTGCTTTTTCTGCTGGTCTAGACACGGTTTCATTGTGCTAGGGTAATCCTGGCCGGCTCCACTAGTTTAGACGTACCGGTCAACCACGTTGGATAATTGCCTCAATTTCTTCCCTGATTCTATCACACTCTTCCGTCGTATCGGTATTCTTGCAGTGATACCAAAAATAAGGAGTCGTGTTCGGATCTACGTCCTGCGGGTTGTCTCCGAGTCTAACCGGGGGTGGCGATGGGAGCTGGTTGCAAATCTCATGAGCGGGTTACGCGGGTGGCCTGTAAACAGGGGTACCCAGTTGGTCCTATATTCGGCAGGTATCCGTGTGCGCACCACCGACTCCCTCCTACCGGTTACTACGAGATTTATCGGGCCGAGGTCGCTTATTTGCCAGGGAGCCTTCATGCTTCATCTTATGCCTGATTGCCTTCTTAGTGTCAGCGAACTGATTGGCCCTCTTAATGGCTTGGGCGTAAGTCTTAGGATTCTCATCGCACAACTTGTTATGGTGTCCGTCAGCGCGCAAAGACTCGATGAAAAAGGTCAGGGAAGTCCTATCATCCAAACCCTCGACCACTTGGGCCTCTTTATGCCAACGCGCTATGTACTTGCGCATGCTCTCTCCTTCGTCTGGAGGCACGCAGGCTAGGTCCGAGATGTATTTCTTGGGCTTCATATTACCAGCAAAATGTGTTAGTAATCGAGCGGCTAAGTCCTCGAAGCTTGTAATTAGCTCGGGTGCCAAGGTAAAAATTCACCGCTGCACAGGGCCAACCAGTGTAGAAAAGAATGCTTTGCAAATCATCTGGTCTGCAACCCCGACCACCTGCATCTTAGCCTGGAAGATAATCAAGTGGCCGCGCAGGTCACCAGATCCATCATAGGCTGAGTGCTCGGGCAGCTTAAAGTCTACTAGAGCCATATAAGCCAAGATCTCTGCTAAGAAAGGGAAATCAGTTAGTAAAGCCTTGGCAGTCGGTTTATCCTTCCCTTCTAGCTTCTGGGGCAAGTCCTTAATCTCTACCGCCAGGTCGGGCACGCCATTTTGCACTCGCTCTCTCTTGGCTAGCAATTCTCCACTACTTTCCAAGTCAACTGCAATGGTTTCTCGCCTACGTCTGGAGGCTATGCGCCTTTGGGTGGTCTCCCGTAGGGGCTCTACAATGGATTGCTCCCTAACCCACCCCCCACTGGTCCGGTGGGTGAGCGGTGTCCAGCTCGACCGCCCAACCAATCTAAAGCTGACTAGGTGGGAGTTGCAGGTCCTAACCGTGAGCATACTGACAGCGCTGGCCAAGCACGGCCTGGCGTGCGACCTTCTATGCGTACAGAATGCTCAGATGCTTAGAGAACTATATGCATTTCTTGGTACAAGGGAATCGATCGAATGGACAGGCCGGGGCCGAGCAGCGTTAACTGCCAAGCCCCTCTCACGCTCGTACATATCTAACATGCGAACCATCACTTCTGTGATAGTCGAGACGGTCTGTGCCACCGACGGGGAAGGAATTTCAACAAGTACCTCATTAGGCGGCGTGACAGTACCTGCTGTACGTGTTACCGACCTATTACCGGAGTTAGGGCAGCTCAATTGTTCTCGTAGATCGCCGATAGAAATGCGGCTAGTGGCGGCGCGGTTATCGGTGTTGATAGCGTTAACGGCGTTGGTGCCAGTGCCGGAGCGTCTACTACATCGAGTGTTTGCCATTAGCAAAGTTTAGATACAGGACTTTTTGTATCGATCCCCAAGGATGGCGTCAATGTTGGTTTTACGGCTTTAGGGTAGCCGGACGGTGGGCCAACACTACTGTAAAATACTAAGGAAAACGAGAAAATTGATAGAGTAATTGTACAGGCTTGTATTGATTTCAGAACCCCTTACAATGTGACCCGGGGGGAGCGGGGGGGGGGGGGGGGTATTTATACAAGAATATGGGCCTTGGAAAAAGAAAAGAGGAAGAAATTAACAAATCTAAACTTTAGGAAAGCTTTCAAACTATTAAATAAACTTTCTAATATTGAAAAAGGAAATTCCCGCTCTAAAACTGGAAAGGATCTCCACCAAATCTCTACTCACCGCCCCCGAGTGCGGCACCCGGTCGGGATCCCTTCAACTGCCTAGCCTGCTCGACCGGTCCAGCTGATGAGCTAAACATGTAGTGGGCCGGAGCCAGTCTACCGTGGCCCTCCTAACCCTTCAACTCCTTCAAGTAATCACACCACAAGTCCACAATCTCCTAACCGTCTAGGGGCACACCTGACTGGGTACCTAACTTTGGGTATCCATAAAATATAATAATAATAATAATAATGATAATAATAATAATAATAATAATAATATTATTATTATTATTATTATTATTAAAAAATCATTTATAAGCCATATATTTAGTGGATACTGATCTTGCTGGATCCAGCCTAAATAAACAAATAAAAAAACTAAGCCTACACTAGATCCTTAAAACACCGAGTATTGGATAATCTGAACAGTGTGATTCTTGGATTTTGTCTTTTGTCTCAATCATGCCCAAAAGCATCTGATTTGCATGTTCTTATTTTAATCCTAACACGATCTTTCCTAACTAAATGATGTCAATTGGCGTCAGTGTTGACCCACCAAGTTTCATTAAACTACTAAAGATTTGTTAAGCTGATAATGACATTCCAAGCTAATTAATTTCTATCACATTATATTATGCTTAGCTTCTTTGGGTTTTACTTAAATTTATTTAAAAAAAAAAAAAAAAAAAAAAAAAAAAAAAAAAAAAAAAAAAAAAAAGATGTTGGTCCATTGAAGTCTTTTTTATTTTTGAGTGCAAGTTGAAGCTAGGCAGTGGATGTCTGTTAAGCTTGGCCATTACTTTTTGTGTCTTTTCCATTTGGTGTTTTACTAAGAATCTTCCTTTGCCTACCCATGGCCAACCTGTTTTCCTGGTTCCCACAATGACTTTGTGCATATTTAACCCCCCCAAAACACTCCCAGTTTTTTTGCCTAGCTTTCTAACACTTGCTGCCATTCTTGGAACCCATTATATTCAAACGTTTACTGCTTTCTTAGCTAGTTTGTGTTTTCTTTGACCCTATGCATAGGAGAGGCAGAAGAGTCAAGCGCTCTGAGGTTAGTTTGTGTTCTTCTTTTAGTACTGTAACCTACGTATAGTATTCTTGTTGGTTGAGGATTCAAAGGCTGCAATTTCTTTGCTTGCAGGCCTTCTGGCCATCCATTGTGATGAAGAAATGGCTCAACATACAACCTAAGGTGTATGATTTTAGCGAAGATGAGATTGACACTGAGAGTGAAGATGATGGTATGTAAGAATTTTCATTCATCTCTCTCTCTCTCTCTCTCTCTCTCTCTCTCTCTCTCTCTAGTTTTCTTGATTTTCTTTCCTTCTCATCTGTATGTATAATCTGCAGCTTGCTCTCTGAAAGACGAGAGGGTGAATGAAGATCATGGCTGCCATGGTGGAGGGGAGGGGAAGGCTTCTGATGACTGCTTGTCCGACCAAATTTCTGTTAAACCTTCCACGGAATATTCACTGAGGCACAGGAGAGGGAAATCTGAAACTCTGCGTGTTCAGTACATAAGCACAAAAGATGTGAGGTTTGGGAGGATTTAACTTTTTCTGTTTTGGGATTACTTTCTTCTTGAATTTCAATGGTTTCCAACAAGGGTTGGAGGCATAATTCTTGATTTGTACGTGCAGAGTCACGGTGGGCACGTGGAACGTTGCTGGGAGGGTCCCGGGTGACGATCTCGAGATTGAAGACTGGGTTTGTATGCAAGAACCAGCAGATGTTTATATCCTAGGGTGAGTTTGTAGGGTGCTGGACTTGGCCTTTTACTGGTCGCCCGACAATAATGTTGTTGTCATATGATGTTTGAGGTTTATATGTGTTTGATTTATGGTTATGCTGGACTTGGCCTTTTACTGGTCGCATGACAGAGTCAGGGTGCTGGAGTTGGCCTTTTACTGGTCGCTCGAGAATAATGTTGTTGTCATATGATGTTTGAGGTTTATATGTGTTGTTGATTTATGGTTATGCAGGTTCCAAGAGGTTGTGCCTCTGAGTGCTGGGAATGTGCTGGGAGCTGAGAACAGAAGGCCAATTCAGAAATGGGAAGCCATAATTCGGAGAACACTGAACAAGACTTCTGAGCCTGCAGAAACTAAGGTCAAGAGCTACAGCGCTCCTCCCTCGCCCGTGCTCCGGACTTCTTCTGCTTCTGACATTATTGCTGATGCAATTGGTGCTCCCGTCTTGGACGCCATGTCAGACGAGTCGATAGACCCTTCTTGCGTTGCTGTGCCAGCACCAATGAATCTGAACTCGAAGAGGGTTTATGGGATTGGCAGCGAGGTTCGATTGGATTGGCCCGAACGCCCCCTGGATGCTGCAAATACACAAGCTCTTTCCTCAAGCTTCAAGCTTAGAAGGGTGCTGAGCAGTTCTGCCCGGTTTGGATTCGAAAGCGTGGACAATTCTCTGTGTTTCGCGCCTCGTGGATTAGTCGGTGGGGGGCTTAAACGAGGCCACCATAGCTCTGGAAACTTGGGATTGATGTCTATGGCTAAACCTCAATTACAGCTTCAACAAGATCATCCTGTAGAAGAAGTTGATTTTCTTTCTGACAGCAGCTCTGATGAGTTCTCTGAAGAGGAGGAGGAAGATTCTTTCATGGAATTCCCAGAGCTCCATAAAGAAACTCTTCCTGTTAAGGTTGTAAAGAAATCACATCCCAAGTATGTTCGTATCGTGAGTAAACAGATGGTTGGGATTTATGTTTCGGTTTGGGTACGAAGAAGGCTAAGAAGGCACATAAACAACTTGAAAGTCTCTCCTGTTGGAGTTGGATTGATGGGATACATGGGGAATAAGGTATTCTTTAAGGATTTTGTTGTGTTTTTTTTTTTTTTTTTTTAAGGAAATTAAAGTTAAAACCTTAAATTAACAGAAGAGTGTATGTAATTGCAGGGATCTGTTTCAGTGAGCATGTCTCTTTTCCAATCACAGCTATGCTTTGTTTGCTCACACTTAACATCTGGGCAGAAAGATGGAGCTGAGCATAGGAGAAACTCCGATGTGAACGAAATTCTAAGGCGAACGAGTTTCTCATCCGTGTTCGATACAGAAGCTGCTGATAATCCCCTAACGATCCCATCTCACGAGTAAGCAAAACGCCTTTGATCAATCCTAGGATGCAACTAAGTTTTTGTTTAATTTAGACAGTGTTCACAACATAACATATGACCCGGTTTCTTAATTTGATCAAACACAGTCAGATATTCTGGTTTGGAGATCTGAATTACAGAATCAGCCTGGCAGATAGTGAAGTGAGAAAGCTCGTTTCACGAAAGCAGTGGGACGAGCTCCTCGATCATGATCAGCTGAGCAAGGAGCTAAGAACTGGGCATGTTTTCGATGGCTGGAAAGAAGGAGCCATCAACTTTGCACCAACTTACAAATACGAGTTCAACTCAGACAGATACATCGGGGAAACCCCGCGAGAAGGGGAGAAGAGGAGATCCCCAGCATGGTAAGCCATTAATAATGTTTGCTAGGTTTGTAGAGATTAAGGATGTTACAAACATCAAAGGTTTTTGATATATATGATGTTTCAATTCAGGTGTGATCGAATACTATGGTTGGGGAAAGGCATAAAACAGCTGTTTTACAAAAGGGCAGACATAAGATTATCAGACCATAGACCAGTGAGTTCTATGTTCACAGTCGAAGTAGAAATCTTTAACCAACGAAAGCTCCAACGAGCCCTCAACGTCAAAGCTGCAGCTATACATCCTGATATTTTGCTTCTTGATGAGATTTAAAATATATATATATATATATAGGTGAAGCTTCAAAACATAATCTCAAAATCACCCATCAAGAGCTTATTCATGTCTGAAATACTTATGTTTTTGTCTTTTAATTTGCAGATGATTACCAGGTTTGCTGAGTTATCTTTTTGCAGATCTGAACTAGATTGGATTAAGGTTGTTTGAATTGACTGGGATAATATAATGCTCCAACTTTTGGTTTAAATCAAACCTAGTCCAATAGTTTGCAATATTTTTTTATTTTTGAATCTATATATAAAACTTTGTGAGGCAAAAGAGGGACCATAAATTCATTAAATTTTGTCATGCTCCTCCTTTTGGAGTGTATCAGAGAAAAGATGGGATAAAAAGATGTCTGTAATACTGTAAATTATTACTAACTGTATGTATGGAAGTGTGGTTCTTTTTCTTTTAATTTACAGTTATGGGTAATGCTTCTTTCCATTGGTGTCCATTCTTTTTTTTTTTGAGGAAAATTGGTGTCCATTCTTGGCTAACTTTATCCACACATAATACCTTTTGTATGCCATTTTAGACACCAATAATCAATCAGCCGTGGGTACAAGTCAAAAAAGTAAAACAAGTACATTATTACTTTTTATCTACAAAATTTTCAATTCAACAATAAAATAAATATAGTTTATGAAAAATTGTAATTTATCTCCTCATAATATGCCAATTATTAATATCACTCCTTAGTGATGTAAATGTTGTCTCTCAATTTTCAAAACGGTACATATGTTGTCCCTCCTGTAGTGTACATTTTGTCCCTCAATTTTTTTCCTGTACGGTACGGGTGGGGCAATATATGGGTAAATTATGTTGTGCTACCGTGTGCACCATGCATGGTGCACACGGAATTGGATTCATAATTTCTATACTATAGAAATTATGAATCAATTCCGTGTGCACCTTGCGTGGTGCACACGGTTGCACAGCATAACGCTCCCAATATATGTATCATTTTGAAAATTAAAAGGCAATATTTACACTATTAATAATTCAAGAGTGACATTGATAATTGACTTATTATTTTTTTTTTGTGCGTGATAATTGACCTATTATGAAGGGACATAAATACGATTTTCTCTATGTTTTACTTTTAAATACAAACGAAGAAAACACAATTATACAAGTCTCGATCGAGATCATTTAGAGAAGTGTAAATCAGGAGTAATTCAAAAGTTAGATAATTATAATGAGCTATCGCTTCTCTAGCATAAAAGCATACTTGAGAAATTACAAAATAAATATTAATTGAAACTCAATTGGTTTTTGAATTCATATGCTCACCCCAAGTGGATTGGGTTGATTTAAATTTGTAAAGTATAAACATTAATTTGAATTAAAAATTGATATAAAATTTTGTATGGTTAATAAAAATTCCATGTGGCATGAATTGTGTTGGTACATATATGAAAATATTATTGATTAGATTTTGATTCGAAAATTTATATCAAATCTTGTATGGTTGATTAGAACCATCTAACATCAATTGTGTTGCCATTCCACTATCTTGTTATGTATCATTCATGAGTTCTTATTGCAATATCATACACTCTATCATGTCATCATCAACATACCATTCACCTACTATCATGTCATCCTCCCTATGATATATACATGCTTTATAGAGTTATGATTTTTTGTTTAAATGGCTACATTATTTCATAATTTGATTCTTATTAATAGCATTTTGAATAATTATTATTTTATAAAATATATAATATGACAATAACAATGTTGACATAGTGAGAATGGCATGATTTAGTGTACAACATGACGGGTGATTGTGAAATTGTACACGGAGGTGGTCGTGAAAACCGTGACGAGCGACATCCTTGCCAATGAGAATATGGAGACAATTGTGACCGACTATTAAGATGATGATCATGGTTATGGGGACTACAATAGAATTGGCCATGAGATGAGATAAGGTAATAATGTGCTGACAAGTTAGTCAACTTGGATCAGAATGGTACGTGTTTGGGAACAATAATTCTTGAGGAACCTCTAGATTGCCTTCAGAATTTTCTTCAAGCGGACGTTGGCAGAGCACCATGACACATATAGTTTTCTAGCGGGGCACTCAGAGTGTCTTTCTGACCAAAAAAAAAAAAAAAAAAAAAAACTATAAAAATAATGTGATCGAATGATAATATGATAAAAACTATACTACTTTAAAAAAGAAGCATAAAATTATTGTATTTTGATAAATACAATTTCAAAGCATGGATACCAAACAAACTTTTCTTAAAACAAAAGGTGTATTTGATTCATGGGTTTACACATTAGGAATACGAATCAAAATTATAGTTTTTTTTTTTTTCAAAGGAAGGGGGACACCCACATATACACAATATTCACCTACCCTGAGGCTTGAACACTAAACCTCCCACATAAGGGGTCAAACCGGATACAAGTGGACCACAAGTCACTTGGTCGAATCAAAATCATAGTCAATGTTTAGTTGATAACTTTTTAAAATTTAAAACATAACTATGGGATTTGATTATCTCTTCAATTAAAAACTCAATTCTCTAATTAAAAATGACTATCATTTCATCTTATTAGTAATTTGATTTTTAAGTTTGGATTAGTGCTTTTAGATTTTGTTTTTACTTTTTTTTTTGTTTATATTAATACTTTGGATATCATTATATTATGATCAATTGGCTTAATTTTTTATTTTTTTATTTTTATATTTTTAAAACTTTTATTCCCATTATACGGTCATACATAACCAAACATCAATATTAATAATCATTCTATTTTACAACCAAACATGTAAAATACTTTTACCAAAATTTATTATCATTACAAAGTATTTAATCCTTATTCCAATTTTGATTCCCTTACGAATCAATCATACCCAAAATTTATTCTAGAAATCCCCAAAATTGAAATTGGGCCAAGTAGGCAATCATATGATTTCCGCAAAGGCTTACTCAAAACTGGTCCAGACCATACGAAACAAGAACCTGCAGGCCGCCGCCCATTTTGAGGGGCAAATTATTGCGGTCCACACAGTGGTATACGAACCATAACATAAAAGTACATTTTTAATATATTAAGGGGGCGTTTGGTTCAGGTTATATTATATAACCAAGGGAATGTGACATTCCCGAGCTTACATTCCTATGTTTGGTTCATTTTCTCTGAGGGAATATAACATTCCCAGGGAATGCAACATTCCCTCCACATAGGATTTTGAAGGGAATGTGATTCCCTTCATTTTGTTAGGTAATGTAGGATAACCTTGCATATTTATGAATTTTGTCATTTTAATTCTAATTATTTAAAGATATATATTTTATGTTAGCTTATATATATATATATATATATATATATATATATATATATATATATATATATATATATATATATATATATATATATATATATATATATATATATATATATAAAAGATAAGATAACCCTAAACCAAACATAATTATATTACATACCTCAATTTTAACCAAACACAGGAATCTAACATTCCCAGTAATCTAACATTCCCAGCAATCTAACATTCCTAAGGTAATCTAGCATTCCGTGAACCAAACGGCCCCTTAAATATAACGTATATAATTACATTCCTTAAATATAACGGCCCCTTAAATTATTTCTATACTGAATGTACATATACAATATAATTACATTCCTTAAATATAACGTATATTTTTAATATATTAAAAGTACATTATTATTGTACGAGATGTACATTATTTTACAGTATACAAAATATGATCCACACAGCTTGTGTAGATCATGGTACACATAATAATGATTGCTTTTGAGGTTACATGGAGTGAATTACATAAAAAATTATCAAACTTTATTTTATTATAATTTTTAGAACACTAGATTACTATATCATCTAGAAAGCCACAAATGACTGATTTGGAAAGGGATAGTATATATTTTATAGGAATAAGGGTCAAATAGGTCATTCAATTGCGCACCAAATTATAATTAGACTATTGAACTAAAAAGAATTACAATTCAGTCATTGAACAATACAAAAATATGCAATTTAACCCAAAATGACATGTTTACTTGATGTAGCATGTTACCGATTTTAAAATTAATTTTTAATAATTAATTAGTTAAAAAATATATTTTTCTAAAAAAAACAACAATTGTCTGCCGAAGACGAATCGTCTCTAACCGGCTTCGTCACTATGGTGAGAGACGACCTTCGTCTCCATAGCTAGAGACGAAGGGGACCTTCGTCCCCATAGCCAAGAGACGAAGGTTCCTTCGTCTCCCTGGCTTTGGAGACAAAGGATGTTGTCTCCGCCCAACAGTTTCTGTTTTTATTTAAACAAATATTTGGCTCAATTGCAATTTTTTTAGGTCAATGGCCTAATTGCAATTTGGTGTGTAGTTTTTTTGTTTTTTTTTTTATTTTATTAGGAAGGGGATACCCTACATATACACACTATTGCCTCAACTGAGGTTCGAACCTTACACCTCCCACTTAGAAGAGCAACCCGATACTAGTGAACTACAAGCCACTTTGTAATTTGGTGTGTAGTTGAGTGACCTATTTAATACTTATTCCTATTTTATATGAATGGCCGAGAGATAATGTTTTGAATATATATATATATATATATATATATATATATATATATATATATATATATATATGTGTGTGTGTGTGTGTGTGTGTGTGTGTGTGTGTGTGTGTACATATATATATATATATGTATGTATGTGTATATATATATATATATATACACATACATACATATATATATATATGTACACACACACACACACACACACACACACATATATATATATATATATATATATATATATATATATATATATATGTATGTATGTATGTATGTATGTATGTATGTATGTATGTATGTATGTATGTATGTATGTATGTATGTATATATATATATATATATATATATATATATATATATATATATATATATATATATATATATATATATATGTATATGTACACACACACACACACACACACACACATATATATATATATATATATAACTACACGTACTACTCTTACAATCTTCTTCTTTAAAATCAACCCATATACATAAATTCACGAACACACATATAAATTATTTTCGTAAAATTACCAAAAAATAACAAATAAAAAATTCATCCATACGATTTGCACACGGCATACTACATACACGCACACACCGTCGTACATAATTAACTAAAAACATCAACTCTCAATACAAATTATTACTTGACGGTAATAATGTTACCGGAAATATATTGTAAAGTAACGAATAAGAAAGTGACAATAGTTGTATTGCCTTTTGTCTTAGTATAGAAAGTACAGTGTCCACTGCTCAGCTGAGGGAAGTTCTATTTATACTAGGTCCTAACGGTAACAACATGAAGAGACATCCTTGGGGAGCTGAGCTAACGGCAAGAATATGAAGA